TTTACTTGCAAATGCCATGTTCTTGTTTTTGTTTTCAGTCTAACAGAATTCCATTGCGCATTTGTATATTTCCATCACCCGTTCACCAGTGGAATGGCTAGTTGACATGTCAGCAAGGAGGGTGGAAATCTCACAAGGTCCCACTCCCAGGCAATGAGAAGCTGCCGGAAGAAGAGAACCAGTGTTCACTAGAGATGACCATCCTGAGAGAGTATCCACTCCCAAGCAATCAGCCTTAAACACAAACACAGGCGCAACACCACATGGACTCAGCATGTTGTATTTGTATATGCATACATACATGTGTGTGCCTGTAACAATAATAATTTAAAAAGAAGAGCTCATTAACTTGCAAGGGAGTCGGGAACATGAGAGGAGCTGGCGAGGGAGAGAGTGCGTAGCAGTGATGTAGATACAGCACTCATGCATGAAATTCTTTAAAAAACTGCAGAGATATACAATGAATGATAAATTTTCTGTCTTTGATATCTTTAGTTTTTAGTTTACAATGGCTAGGTTTTGGGGTGAGATGCCTGTGTGTGTGTGTGTGTGTGTTTGTGTGTGTGTGTGCGTGCGTGCATGTGTATGCATGCGACTGGGTGCATGCAGGGGTCAGAGGTTAATATTGAAATGACTTCCTCAATCATTTCTCTATTTTATCTTTTAAGATAGGATCTCTCATTGAATCTCACCAACCCAATATTTCAACTAGATGCCTGGCCAATGAGCCCTCAGGATCCACCTGTCTCCGCCTCCCTCTCTCGCTCCTCTAAGCACTGGGGTTATGGGCATGTGACAAAACAGCTTTTCCATGGGTAGTGGATCTGAACTCAGGTTCTCAGGCTTGCATAGGAAGCACTTTATTCTCTGGGCTAATTGCCAGATCCAGGAGTTAGATTTCTGAGGCTGGGATGTTAGATAATGCATTTGTTATTCATGCGGTTTATATTTCACTTGGAATACCTGTGCTCCACAGTTGGGTTCTGTTCAAAGTAGTACTAGTATTGGAAAAATAGAGACAAGGGATGTTTTGGATTTTTCAAACATGGTTCTTTTTCATTGCTGGCTATCATGGAGTCTGGGCCATTTTTATTGATCAATAAATTTTATTTCCAAATAAAAGCATAGTATTTCAAGAGTTTACTTTCAGAAAGCTATAACATTAGGAGAAATTATGGACCAGAAAGAAATTTCAAAGAATTGACCAGTGTTTTATAGTGAAAAAGAAAAAAATGTATAGCTTGACTGTTCAGCTATACCAGTATTTTCTCCATGCTGTTAAATGAATCGCTGTTAGAAGGGTGCTTTATTCAACCAAGTACCAATTCCTTCTCAAGGTAATGACTGATCTTATTCCCTTTGCTCCATGTGCAGAACTGAATTACTAACACTGGAAGTGACTTCAGCTTAGACAGTATGTCTGACCAATAAAGATATTCTCACAATTTGTGGGTCATTTGTTTGTCCCTGAACCGTAAGTCATCCCAAATTCTTTCTTGACAGTTTCTTTTCAAAGTCAATTGATTACTTTGCCTTTGGCTGTTGAAAAGTGGCCCTGTATTTGCCCTGTCTGTTCTGAAGATCCAAACAGGGTGTGTGCCTCCTCAGCGGATACTGTTTGCAAAATGAACCCTCAAATGGAAGAGGGTATCAGGCTACTGTCTCAATAATTGCTACTCATTTAATAAAGTTGTTTGGGCTTGAACCTGATAAAATTAGGCTTTTTATAGAGAAGACATCAAAGTATGCTCTTATTATCTTAGATATTTCATAGAGTATCACTTTATTTTATTATTTTTCTATTTTGTTGTGTGTACACGTGTGCATTGGGTATGTGTGTGTGCATGTGTGTGTGCGTGTATTTGTGTAGTGGAGTGTATGGATTTAGAGGCTATGGGAAGATGTTATTCATTGTCCGGCTCTATCCTTCTCTCTTACTCCATTGAGACAGGGTCCCTACCGGAACCTGAAGTTAGGCTGGCTAACAACAAGCCCCAGAGATCACCCTACCCAGCTGCAAGCTCTAGGGGAATAGACACATGGAAACTGTACCTGAATTTTTTGTAGGCTGTAGGCATTTGAACTCAGGATCTCATGCTTCTACAGGAAGAGTACTTACCCACTAATCTGCTTCCCCAGACCTTGCCTAACACTTTAGTGTGCCTTCTACTTTTTCTCAGTCCCTTGCTAATTCTACACAATGTGTGTGACGCCGATGGCGGGAGCAAAGATGAACGCAAACCAAGAGAAGCCTAGGGGAAGAGAAAGAAAGGAGTCTTGAGAGCATTCAGCTGGCTCTCCTCATGCTTTCAGGACCGCGCGCAGACTTACAGTTGGTGATTTAGCACATTGTCCCTCTGTTTCTTTTGGCTAATTCTGGCTTCCCTCTGCTGCAATCAAAGGCAATTCAAGAACGGACTGATGAGGGTGACAAGTTGTAAGAGTAGACTGTGGAAGGAGCTCTACCATTCTTTGCAAACCAAACACTAGTAAACACTTAGGTCCTTTGAGCGCTTACTGGATGCCATACTGGGTGCCCCTCCCCCCACTCTGTACTGGCTGCCATCCAGGGCATACCCCCACCACACACTCTGTAGTATCATACATAAAACTCAACACATAAAAATTAAGAAAATAAAATTTTGTGAGCTTGTGTTCCCCCTGGGTTTTCCTGTCTTGAAGAACTTAAACATTTGTAAACCACTCAACATGAAGAACTACTTGAACCCCATCTTTTGTTTTTCTCAGAGGAAGCTGAACGCAGCTTCATTAAGCCCTGGGTGCCACTGCCTCTAAACGCACAAATAGACGTCCAATTCTTTCAGATTTGCAGCAGCTGTTTTCTCTGAATGATTTCTTTCTCAGCATGGGGATTTCACGTGTTGCCGGTCAGTGGGGATAGAGGTGTTTCTGCGCATGGGCAGGGCAACTGTCGATGACCTTCTCTCCCGGGAACTACTGTTCTGAGCTCTTAGTGCTGAGGGGACGCCTAATTCTCTGAATGGCACTTGGCTCGCCTCGTGACTCACAGCGGCTTTGATTCCACTGTTTGCCTTTTCTAAGAGTTAACTGGAGAAAAGCCTCCACTGTTCTGTTTGGGAACAAATGAAGAGAAGCCAGATGGCTGGGTTTATCGCTCCAACTAAATTTTGGGATAGTTTCCTGTGTTTGAATTGGTATGCCTTTATTAGGCAGCAGAAAATATCTAGGGACACAATTCTGATAAAAAAATAAAATAAAATAAAATAAAAGGGTCTGGGTTTTGCTCCACTAAAACAGCAAAGAAATTTAAATGATTTATAGGCACTGGTGCCAATGAAGCATACAGATTACCCCAATAAGTCAATGACCATTTCTACAAAGCAGATCCAATTATTACTTTCAATCCACAGTTGAGAGAGTAAACAAGTTGACCAGAGCCTACAGGTGGGACAGCTAGTTAGAGGAGAGGGAAGGTTCTACCTGGATCTGATTGAAGGCTGCTCCCCTGAAGGCTGGGTGATATCGCCTTCCCAGAATATACTACAATACAGTAAGCGCACAGAAGAGAGAGAGGCCCCAGAAGGCCTTCACCAGCATGAACTGTGGCATTAACTGTCTTTGCAACTCTGGATGAATCATCTCCCCAAGCTTGGGTTTCTCAATGTAAGATGAAGGCTGAAGGCTATTTGTATTGGACAGTCTCGGGTTCTCTAGCTCTATAATTGCTGTGCTGTGACCTCAGATGGATGGGTGTGCCTGACCACATATGCCTCAATATTCATACACACGCATGCTTGCTCACATGCCCACAATACATTCCAAGGTAGTAACTTAATTGTGTTAAAATGCCTCCACCACAATTGAATAAGTCCTGACCCGCAGTGAATCCTAATATTTACAGCAGACCCCTCTGGAACATAAAAACAGTTTTAAAATCTGGCAAGAAAATGGGAAGACAGAAACAGAGAAAGGAAGAAGAGAGAGAGAGAGAGAGAGAGAGAGAGAGAGAGAGAGAGAGAAATGCATGTGATGTAAATGTTAATGCCAAGAAGACAAGGACAAGGAAGGAGAAGAAGAAACAAAGAACAGCAAACAAACAAACAAACGAAAAACCCTCACACCAAATGCTCCTCTTTAACTTGTTTTTTGGAACATTAACTTGAAAACTTTACTTTGATTTCTTAGATGTAGGTAGCTTCTAGGTTATTAGATATAGGTAGCTTCCATTTAAAAGCTCTTGTATTTTGAGATTTTTTTCCTCCTGTTTTATGATAGAAGAGAGAAAATGTCAAAGGTAGACCACAAAATGCAGCAGAAGGTACCCAGAACATCTTGAGGGAATGCCACCTAGGAAAACGAAAATTACAACTGCACCAGTGTAGGATGCATTCTGGTCCCAGGGTCTTCCTCTTTCCTGTCACCTTCACACATTTGTCACAGCATGCAAAATGTGACCGTCAGTGTCATGCTACCTGCACAACTTCAGAGCAAAAAGGATCCGAAGTGTCTGAGGAAAATAATTGTATTATTTTTAGTTGCTACAGAAATGGACCACGAATCAGGTGGAGAGGACAACTCGGAAGAACGGAACTGGAAATGCTAAAAATATTGCTTCCCCCAGCAACTGAAATTTTAAGAAAAAGTTAGGAAGGGCCAGAAACAGAGATGGAGTGAGAGTTCATGTCTTTCAGCTGCAGTCACTTGATTATTGAGACCAGGGAGAACAGAACGCAGGGGGCTAACCCCGGGCAGTGAGGGATTCCACGGGGAACAGGCAAAGTACAACGAGACAGCAGTGAGCTGGGAGGGAAAAAAAGGATGATTTGTCTATTGCATCAAATACCCGGAGCAAAGCTTGTGTGGAGAACGGCTGGGAAATCCAAGTCGTTTCGTGAAGCAGCCTTCTTTCTGTGAGTGTGAGCCCTGCAGACGCCATGAGCTCTGTAGCAAAGAAGCAAGGCTGTGTTTGATACACGTGTTTCCCATTGATATCTGGAGACAGCCCAGTAGCTGGGCTTGACAAAACCGGATCGAAGTAGAGGCAGAGTAGGGTTTCAAAGCAGGCAGTGAAAGACCGGGAATGCTGTTCAGGAAATTCTTCAGGCATGGGCAGGGACTTGGCTGCAGTTGTGCGGCTGGAAAATCTGACTGGGGCAGCTCCTGAGCGCAGGCAGGGCCTGCTCACATGGGCGGGCTGAGTGGCCGCCTCCTTCAGAGCCTCTCAGCTTTCCCCAGGACCACGGGGGACCCTCATCCGCCACTCTGTGAAGCAGAGGAGAGGTAGGGGACCTTGCAGTTCTTGCCTTTCCAGCCTAGCTTCCTGAGCCCTGTCTGGTGTTTGTTCACAAACACGGGGGTGGGGGGTGGGAGGGGTCGCGGGTGTACGTGTTAATTAACACATTTCAACCCCATCACCTCTGCAGAGGGAGTGGGTGGGTGGTTCTCATCTTTGTTTGCCCCAAAGGCTCTTGAGGTAGGAGTTTTAACAGTGCCAAGGCACTTTTGAAAGTTGGAACTCCACAGCTAATGCTGAGGGGGAAGGAAAAGTGTGGATTCCTCCTGTTGTCACTCTGTCCCAGCGAACTGGAAGTTTTCTCCCTTTCGGTTTCTCGGGACACTTCACTGACTGCAAAGATAATCTCAGATGAGAATGTTCCAGGTCTTAATGCTTCCAAGGTTTTAAGAGGGGGTGTTCCAAGCAGGAAACAGTTTTCCGTTTTTTGGAGGAAATCAGAGTTGGAAGTTTTTATTTTGGAACACATTTTACTTATTTTGGTTAGAAACAGTGTGTGTGTGTGTGTGTGTGTGTGTGTGTGTGTGTGTGTGTGTATAATTTTATATGTGATTTTGACTTTCTTATGTGAGATTTGAACAGCAGTAATATTTTTACCTAAACTATGCTGGGCTGTTGTTACTCGGCTTTGGTAAGCAAGTCCCCTTTTACTCAGTGACAGAAAGAACCTGCAGTTTAATACTTCTAATACAGATAATAGAGCTATAGCAGAAAACAGTAATTTATTTTTTAAAAAAAATTGTTAAAAATAGAGACAAATGGTGTGAATGTTTCATCGACCGCGTCATTTTATTTTCACCTAACTAAAAATAGTACATTAAAACTATTGAATAAATTTTAGTAAGAGGGAACCCCGGCTTTCCTCTTCCATTTAAGTTCTCTTTCATAGTATACCCTGTATTGTAATCCATATGCTAGCCCTCCTAGAACTTTGATAGCACTCCTTTCTGTGTTCATATTTAGAACAGTGCCTCTGTCTTTAAGATAAATCTGTACTTAACGCTCATCCATTGCTATGCAGTCCATGGCAACAGAGGTGTTCCCCAGAGGGGACTTGGGTAAGAGCCCGCCTGGGGAAAGTAGATGAAAGGGTGGAGTCCTGGCATACTGGGTCCTTAGTAAGGAGCCACTGGACCTCTTGAGTGCTTCTCTCAGAAAATGAGGTGAGTTTAATTCAGAGTCCTGAACCCCCTACAAACAGCTTGTTAGTACTTGATGAGGTGGGGGCTGACTGAAGGGTAGATGCTGAAACACCTCGGTTTTCCCATCCCAAAATGGGTAGGCAGAAGGTCACTCTGGTCGTAAAATTTTCAGATTGTCAGCTAGTACTTTCTTTCCCCATAATTGTCTTGTTTGGAGGATAGAATCCGTATGTGACTGACAGCTGGCTTTCTCAGTCTTGAGCAATGGCTCACACTTGTTTTCCTTGTTAACCTCTCTTTGAGTCAGGAGGGATAAAATTGGATGGGGTGAGGCAGGGTGGGGCATCTTAAAGAATTTCAGGACTCCCTTCAGGCAAGGGAGGGCAGTTAGAAGTCAAGATGGACCATGGCTCTCGTCTGAATACCCAGGCGGATTAGGAGCTGATGTGAACCACAGCCAAGCACCAACTACCAGTAACAGAGACAGAGAGTGATCTGGAATGTCATCCCCTTCTAAATTTAGTTCATATCAAGCTTTCTGCAGAAAGAGGCGTGACATAGCGACTCCAGGTTGCAGGATTGTGCAGAACAGTGCCCAGACTGGGAAGAAACTCCTTAGTTTCTCTTTTCAAACAAGAGAAACCATGAATTCTCTTGACATTTGAATAAGGTGTGGGGAGGAAGAGGATAAAGAAGAAATCCTATCAGGACTTAGCAGGGCAAAATGAACATGGAGTATGGAGGGAGGAGATCTCTGCACAGAAAATTAGCCCACTTATTAGACCCCTTCAGACACTACTCTGCTTGCCTTCACATGCAGGTAAACCATGGCCTCAGTGCACGAGGCTGGTTTACCTTCTTCACGAGGGAAGACCTTATGGTCAGCCTGCCTTGCAGGGCCTTCTGGAAGTAATCAGAAAGCACATATCGTAAGAATAGCATTACCCAGAGGGCTCAGATTTCCTAAGCAGGAGAGAACAGGCTCTTGGGGCCTTATTTTAGCCCATATTTGTTCCTTGCGGAGCTATTCCTGCAGGAGCATTGAGTGAAGGGACCAGGTGGTGGACATGAGCAAATCGCTACTGGGATGAAGCTATTCCAGGCTCTGCTAGACCTACTTTATTAAAACAAAGTTTGGAAAGAGAAAACTATGCTATGTATGCTTTTTTAAATTGGGAAAAATGTTCTTTTTGTGCACAGATACAGGACTGATAGAAAATCGTGGTATAGGTAAAGGGTCTATGGAAGACAGGTGACAAAGAAATGAGTTATGTGGAGATAAAGAGAATTAAAAATAGATTATAATATAAATAGGTAGGTATATAGATGTAGAAAATTGATTATAATATAAATAGGTAGGTATATAGATATAGAAAATTGATTACAATATAAATAGGTAGATAAGTAGGTAGATAGATGATAGATAGATAGATAGATAGATAGATAGATAGATAGATAGATAGACAGACAGATAGATAGGAAGGTAGGTAGATAGATAGATTAGATATACATAGAGAGAAATGATACATAGACATATAAACTGCTACAGAGACACAGATATGGAGAAAGGGAATAGGTGATTGATAGAATAGATTCATGATAGATGATAACACAGACAGAAGATTAATAAATAGAAGGGTTAGGTAAGAAGATATAATATGCAAGTAGATATCAACAGAGATATACAATAGAGATGGTAGATAAATGGATTGGTAGCTAGATTCAGAGCCTGAATTTGAGAAAGAGATGATAAACAGATGATAGAATAGCTAGATGATACATATGTAGAAGGAATAGTTAAGGAGATAAGTCATTAGGACTGATAGATATCTAATGATTGATAGGATGATGGACAGATAAGTGATAGATGCTAGACAGACAAATAGATAATTGATATATTTATTATGAAAATTATCTCACAACACTGTGAAAGCCAAGAAATACCATGACATTAATCTACTGCTGCATCCCCAGGAAATGGAGTGATATTATTCAGAGAAAGAGGTCCAAATGTGGGTATAATTCACAGTCTAAGACTTAGAGCTTATTGAAACATGAGGGTGATCTGGCGGGGCTATAAGGCTTCTCTCAACTCTGCCTTCTTTCTCCCAGCATTCAGTTTAGTTTTCCCCACCTAACTCTGCTCTATCCTATCACAGGCAAAGTCAGCTTCATTATTCATTAACTAATAAAAGCAATGCATATAAAGGAGGATTTCCCACACCATTTCCCCTTTTCTGTTTAAATGAAAAGGAAGGTTAGTAAAATTACATATAACAAAACAGGTATCCAGAAAGAATTAGTTACTGTGTGTGTAACAAAACAGGTATCCAGAAAGAATTAGTTACTGTGTGTGTGTGTGTGTTCCTTAACTAAGGAAAACTATAATTATAACTATCTATTCTTCAACTCTATCAAAGACTCCAGAAGGATATAATATTACCTAAGTTAACAGGAAGTGCATTGCAAGCAACTTCCAAAACTCTAGAATTGACAGAGACATTTCACTGCCTGGACAGTCACCCAATGTTCTTCTGTTACATTGGGGCATGCATCTTCAGCCTACTGGTCCATAGTATCTGGCAGACTTTTCCATGAAGCAAGAAATTTCAAAGATAGTTCTGCCTATATTGGCAGTTTGTCAGTCATTTTCTTCTGTGTCCCACAGAATGTCTGGCAGACCCTTTCATGAAACAGAAGCCCAAAAGGACTGTCTCACCATTTTTAGGCAACTTCAACAGTCATTTCTCTGTGGATTCTGCACGTCCAGTTCACCAAGCAGTCCAGGCAAGAGCAGGTTCTTGCCCAAATGGCCAACAAATTCTATGAGGAGCCTCTTTGATGCCCATCTCCCTCTTGAAGTAGATTGGTGCTGCCAGGATGTGTCTCACTATTATGAAAAGTCATAAGTTCTTAAAATATTTTAAATGCCATATTCTATAGTCTTTGAAAGAGTTGAAGAATAACTAACTGAAATATATCGCTATATATCTAAAAAACTTAACTAACATGACTATAAGTTTGACTATTGTAGATGACTATCTATTAACCTGTATTTCTTAATTATAGATTACATTTTTAAATGAGCTGCACAAACACAATACCTTAATCAAGAGCAGAAATATACATGTAATAAAATTGACCTTAAGTTTGTATCAATAAACCAAGATCCATACCAATGCAAATCTCTATAACATATCCCCCTTTAAATGTAAACAAATACTTATGAACAAAATTTGGGAATTGGGCATAGTTCTCTCCAAACTGCTTCCTGCTTTTTTGTTGGTGAAGTACTTTTCAGGGTGTTCACAGTGACATTTCATGGGGTATTAGTCCATTGAACCACATTAGTCTGGATTTAATCCACAGGTTCTCATCTTCTGTGGAAACAAAAGCAGAACCTCTTTTCCAAAGCAACAAATCCTTAGACCCAAAGTTTGGAATCAAGACACCTTTAAAATATATCGTTTGGTTTAGCTTAGCAGCTCTTACAATATCTCTTTGTACTTGGCTCCTTACAGTCAAAAAATTCAAAGAAAACACAATAATATAGCACTCTGTGTATATTCCATCTTTGTGTGGTTTATTTTTTCTTACTCTATTAATTTTTCTACAAGTTTGATATTTAATTTATTATCTTCATTTCTTTAATCTATGACTGTCTGTACTCTTTTATTTTATAGTTACTGTCTCTTTACTCTTTTTCTTCAATCTCCCAAGCCTACGTACATGTTTTTAAACAAACTGTGTCTCCTTTAGAGGTCATTTATGTCTGACTATGTCCTTCTCTTCAGGAGTGCTTTTTAAAATGTTAAGCATCTAAGCATTGTTACTAAGACAAGGCT